TTAAAGGTGTGCGCCACCAACACCTGACCAGCTTAATATTGTTTAAAAATCACTTCAAAAATTCTCTCTCTCTCTCTCTCTCTCTCTCTCTCTCTCTCTCTCTACACACACACACACACAGAGAGCGAGAGAGAGAGAGAGCGAGAGAGAGAGAGAGCGAGAGAGAGAGAGAGCGAGAGAGAGAGAGAGAGAGAGAGAGAGAGAGAGAGGATGATGATGGTGATGGTGACGTGTGTAGATGGGTGGAAAGGGGAACGTAAGAATACACACTCCATGCTGTGCATATGGAGGTCGGGGAATAAACAGCCTTTGGCAATTGGTTCTCTTTCTCCCTCATTGAGGCAGGTCTCTCTGGCTATTTTTGTTGTTCTGTGAGCTTCAGGATACCTACCCCAAAGCCTCTGGGTGATTCTGCTGCTTCTGCCTCTGACCTTGCCAGAGGAATACTGGGATTACAGATGTGGCAGCCACATCTGGCTTTCTGTAGATTCTAGGACTCAAACTCAGCAAGCGCTTCTACCTCCTGAGCTGCCTCACTGGGCCTAGAGTCTGACTTTTAAATTTAGCTTCCCACAGAGTCTCAGGCTGTGGACAAACTGCACATAAATTCCTTGTTGGGATGTAACAAATGGCCCCTAATCCAATTCTGAATAGAATTTTTATTCCTGTCTGTAGCCTCACCTGCCTGGTCATTGCTGTCTGCATTCCTGTTGGTGCTCTGGTCTTCTGGGTTCCTACTGGACACCCTCATTAAGCCCTGGTGATAGCATTCTTGAGAATCTCTAGTCCACATCTCAAAATCTTGCAAAACCTTTCCACAAACTCAAGCCATTCCATAGGTTTAAGAACCGTGTGGACAGGTGTGACCACAGCAACAATCCCACTTCTGGGACCAATTTCCTGTATTAGTTACTTTCTATAACTGCAACCCCAATACCCAAGAGAACAACCTGAAAACAGGCAAGCTTTATTTTTACTTCACATTTCAGAGTGTTTGGTCCATGGCCCACTGCATAAAGGCAGGATAGCGTAGTGAAGGAAGGGAGGAGGGAAGGGATGAAGGCAGGATAGCGTAGTGAAGGAAGGGAGGAGGGAAGGGATGAAGGCAGGATGGCAGGGTGGTGGGAGGGAGGAGGGAAGGGGCTTTTTAACTTTATGATGGCACGGAAGCAGAGTGTAGGGGGAGGGAGACAGTGACTTACTTCCTCCAAATAGGTCCTCATGTTTCCAGAACCTTCCCAAATAATGCCATCAGCTTAGACTTAAGTCCCCCAATCACACAGCTTTTTGTGGGGACAATTCATAGGAGCCACTGAATGTAGCTTCACAGAGCCTATGAGAGTGAACTCTAGGGACAAGGGAGGGAGAACAGTGGGGCCAGGCAGCAGCTTTTGGGTGCTTCCTTCATCAGGAGCAGGGAAGATGAGTGGCAGGATTTTGGAGTGGGGGTAAGGAAGAAGGTGGAAGTCGGGATGACTGTCCCACCATGAATGTTTGCCTCTGCATAAAATTGTCTGGCAGCTGGGAAGAGGCAAGAGTGAGAGACCAGGACAAAATCCTATCACACAATCTTTTGTTAACTAGGGGTGCTGAATGCCCAGCTTTGGCTTTGGGGAAGGCTCCTCCCCTTCCTAGTCATGAGTTTATTCCCTTATAGGTAATTCTGAAGCACACCTCATGACGTTGTGGTAAGACACAAATGAGTTATTAAGCTTGGTGATCAAAGCCATGCCAGGACCAGAGGCTGCTCTCAATAAACCTGTCTATCATATTACCACTGTTCTCCTTGGGTCTGGAGTCGGGTGGGAGTGACAGATGTTGCTGGCTGCTTCTAGATGCTTCCAGAAATGTCTATGTTGAAATGTATGAATTAAACATAAGGATGACCTGTACAACTTCAATGCCAACGTGGCAGTCACCAAACACATGAGTTATTAAGATTATTATTAATAATCATAAAAGGAATTTTATTATGAAGGTCATGGGTGCTAAGAGACTATTCTTCTAAGTTAATTAATGGAAACAAAACCTGAGGCTTTCATCACATTAGTTACCATTCAAGTGCCCAGTGACACACACACACACCCCACACACACACACACACACACACACACACACACACACACACACACACGGCTGGTTACTACCAGTATGAAATAGGACAGGTGCAGAAGTTTCTGTGTTTTAGAACATTCTCCTAGACAGCACTGCTGTTGGATGACAGGAAATGGATCTGTGGTGTGTGTGTATTGGGGCATGGGGGAGTCAAAATAGCAGCCCCAACCTTAATCCATTTGTGAAAATATGCTTGCAAGAAAAAGCAGCATCTTGGGCCAGGGGAGGTTGAGTGGTCAGTGGGAAGAGCTTGGCTGATACTTTTAAATTGATCTTTGTAAAGCAGCTCTTAGGTTGAGCTGGGAAGCATCCAGTTCTAATTGGTTAGGGTCATGTGGTCTGAAAACTCGGGATCTGAAGGTGGGGTGTCCCAGCAGGCACACCTAAAGGTAGGAATCTACCGACCTTGAGATATGTGAGCTGAGGGTGGGAGAGATCATGGCTGACAAACATTGGGCCACTGCTCTGTGTTTTTCTCCACTGTCTCTGCTCACGGTCCCTTTGCAAGCTCCTCTTTTGGGTTTCTGTCTCTTCGTTCTAACCCTGTGCAAGCCCTTAAGGCTTAGTGGCCAAAGATCCTGGATTCACTCCCTCACCATTTTATTAATATCTGCTTTTAAATTCATGAATTCTGCATGTTCCTTGGGGCTATTTTTCTTGGAATTTTTCTCGTTTCCTTACTTGAAGGCATAATTTATTGTCAGGTTATTTTGGGGTTTCTGATAAAAAATCACCTGGCTGCCTCTTTGACTACATCCCACAGTCTTGGGCATGTGGCCCTTCTGTTCCCTGTAGATGGCAATTTTTATCTTATTCCTCCTCCTCTGCTAGTCTTAGGCAGGGTTTCTCTGTGGTTTTGGAGGCTGTCCTGGAACTAGCTCTTGTAGACCAGTCTGGTCTTGAACTCACAGAGATCAGCCTGCCTCTGCCTCCCGAGTGGTGGGATTAAAGGCGTGTGCCACCAGCTTCCCCACCCCGCCCCGCCCTCTGTTAGTCTTTTGTGTCTCCTCCTTCCTTAGCCTACAGCCTGATGAGCTCACAGCCTGCCTAAAGTCTCATAGGAACATTAGTTTCATGGCCCCCACTCCCATCCCAGACAGGGTTTCTCTATGTAGCGTTGGGTATCCTAAAACTCACAGCAATCCTCCTGACTCTGCCTCTCAAGTGCCGGGATTAAAGGTGGGCACCACGATGTCCCGGCTTGGTTTCATGATTCTTAAGGAGGGAAGTAACTGGTCAGATGTGCACCCTGATTTCCACCAACTGAGTTTCTTGTCCTTCGGTAGTGTTGAGGCTATCACCATAGGCTGCACTCCCTGTTCTACAAGGCTTTCCAGAGTTCCTTGTCATTCACTCAAACATTCTCTGTTGAAGCAGGGTCACGTGGTATAAACCTGTAGTCCCAACTACTTGGAAGGACGAGAAAGGATGATCCCAGTAGCCCAGACGTTCAAGGCCAGCCTGGGCAACACTTGAGAGTTCAGAGACAGGGAAAGAGACTGGTCTAGTGTCACACAGTTGGTGAGCTATACCAATAGAATTATCTCTTCTGACTATCTAACACACTGTCCTGTCCTCATTACTGTGTATATTAAAGTGACTTTGCATCCCCCTTTGATTCCCCCAACTTAAAAAAAAAAAAAGAAGAGTAGCCGGGCACTGGTGGCACACGCCTTTAATTCCAGCACTTGGGAGGCAGAGGCAGGTAGATCTCTGTTCCAGGACAGCCAAGGCTGTTACACAGAGAAAGTCTGTCTTGAAGAAAGAAAGAAAGAAAGAAAGAAAGAAAGAAAGAAAGAAAGGTAAAGAAGGGAGGAAGGGAGAGGAAGAAAGAGAGGGGAAGGAAGAAAGAGAAAGAAGAGTAACTAGACATTGAGAGGGTTCTGCCTACTTCACTCAGCAACTTCATATGCATTAAAATCAATTGTTTAAAAATTAGACCACCAATTACCTAATTCCCCATGTAAGTTATTAAAGGCCTGCGTCCCCTAAGAATAAGGTTCCTCGTTGTCCTGGTAACCCCTCATGAACTGGCCCTGTCAGCCTCTCCCACCTCAGGTCTGTCTTCATTCACTCTTGTTAGACTCCAGCCTCTCCACCCTTGCAGATCAGCCCAGAGCTCAAAAGCTCTCTGGCCCCACATTAGCTCCACCCCTTACTGTGTGACTTTAAGAATGATTTTTGTTTTGTAGCCTCTCTGTTCTGCTCAGACGACACCAATGATGGTAGAAGGCTGCTGTGAGAATTCGTGAAAGCACAGCTTTCACGACTGTCTGGTCCTTAGTGAGGGAGAGAGAGAGGCAGGGTAGACAGCCTGGATGGATGGATGGGTGGATGGGTGGATGGATGGATGGGTGGATGGATGGGTGGATGGATGGATGGATGGATGGTTGGATGGGTGGATGGATGGATGGGTGGATGGATGGATGGATGGATGGATGGATGGATGGGCGTAAGTACAGATAGATATGTGAGTTGATGGAAGAAAGAAGGAGAAGAAGTGAGGGGAAGTAGCTGACTGATTGGACGTATATATGAGTAGACTGATGGGTGGAGAAAGAGGGGGTGTGGGGAGTCTGGCTGGGTAAACAGATGGCTGCCTGGATGGTTAGAGGGCTGGAAGGATAAATGGATTGTCAAGAAAAGGAAGAAAGGAGGGAGGGAAGGAGGAAGGAAGGGGGAAGGAGGAACGGAGGACAGGTGGTTGAACAGTGGACTGTAGGGAGAGACCCTGGATACCTGTGCCGCTGACCATGCCTGTTTGGGCGTGGTCACAGGTATGTAGAGGGGTAGGATAAAGAGAGAGGAGAGGAGGCACTCCTCCTCTCTTGGGGTTCAGGCCAGGTCTCGGAGGCATCTGGGACTGGGCTTCTCGGCGTGCCAATATGGTTATCGGTTATACGTGTGAGTTGTTCTCATTGTTATCATTTATAATGTATCATCAATAACCATTTATTGTGTACAGTTGTGCTCCTTTTCAGTAGACAGCTAGATGATGGAGAGATGACAGACAGAGGGAGGATGTGATACACAGACCCTCCAGTGAGAGTCAATCTGAGCCCCTCCCCGTCCCTTTTGTTTTCCAGGCCATTGCCCACCTGTCCTCCCGCTCTGTGCCTCAGTGTCTCTGCTGGGTGGTCTGACTTTTGGCTATGAACTGGCTGTCATATCCGGCGCCCTGCTCCCACTACAGCTGGACTTCGGGCTGAGCTGCCTGGAACAGGAGCTCCTGGTGGGCAGTCTGCTGTTAGGTGCTCTCCTCGCCTCCCTGGCTGGGGGCTTCCTCATTGACTGCTATGGCAGGAGACGAGCCATCCTGGGGAGCAACGTGGTGCTGCTGGCTGGCAGCCTGACTCTGGGTCTGGCGGGCTCCCTCCCCTGGCTGCTCTTGGGCCGCTCATCCGTTGGCTTCTCCATCTCACTGTCTTCCATGGCTTGCTGTATCTATGTCTCAGAGCTGGTGGGGCCGCGACATCGGGGTGTTCTGGTGTCTCTCTACGAGGTGGGCATTACTGTCGGCATCCTGTTCTCTTATGCCCTCAACTATGTCCTGGCGGGCACCCCTTGGGGCTGGAGGCACATGTTTGGCTGGGCAGCTGCACCTGCTCTCCTGCAATCGCTGAGCCTTCTTTTCCTTCCTGTTGGTGCAGAGGGCACAGCAGCCCACCAAGACCTCATCCCGCTCCAGGGAGGGAAGGCCAGCAAACCGGGCCAGGGGAAGCCACGGTACACCTTCCTGGACCTCTTTAAGACCCGGGACAGTATGAGGAGCCGAACTGTAGTTGGCCTGGGACTGGTGCTGTTCCAGCAGCTAACAGGACAGCCCAACGTGCTCTATTACGCCTCCACCATCTTCCGCTCTGTAGGCTTCCGTGGAGGCTCCTCAGCTGTGCTGGCTTCTGTGGGGCTTGGTACTGTGAAGGTGGTTGCCACCCTGACTGCCACAGGGCTGGTGGACCGTGCAGGCCGTAGAGCCCTTCTGCTTTCTGGATGTGCTCTCATGGCCTTGTCTGTCAGTGGCATAGGCCTGGTCAGCTTTGCTGTGTCTCTGGACTCAGGCCCCAGTTGCCTGACCACATCCAACACCAGTCGGCAGATGGGTGACCTGCCTCAAAGCTTGGGTCTGCCTAATGGTTCATCTCCACCACCAGTGCCACGAACCAGTGGGGACCAAGGACAACCAGTCCTTCCAATCACTGAGAGAACCAAGCCCCATCCAGTCACCACAGTGTCCCTGGGACCAGCTCTTAATACTGCCTCCCCAGTTCCCCCAGCTCCCATCTTGGAACACACCCTGCTGTGCTGGTCTGCACTGGTTTGCATGATGGCCTACGTGAGTGCCTTCTCCTTTGGATTTGGACCAGGTAGGAGGTAAATCCAGACACTTCTGTCCCTTTTAGTGAGCCTTATCAGTCTAGGGATATGTGAGCTTTATCAGTGGATGACTGAGGCTTCAGGGTTTCCCTGCTTATATCAAGGGGCTCCACCAGGGCCGAAGCCTAACTATACTTGCAAGTTTTTGAGCCTCCCGCCCCCATCACCAAATTTTAAACACCAGGTCTCTTCCAATCTTGAATCTATCCCTGAGTGGCTCCATCAGAAGAGCTTTATCTGAAAGGAGTTAGATGAAAACCAGACGTACCAGTTTGCCTAGGTCCCTTCTGCTCTTGGCACTGAATGTCTTGTGTCCCAGGAACCTGAGACTGTGGCCACTCACGGGATTCTTGCAGGGGTGCAGGAGTGTGTAGCTTGGAGAATCTGGGGCGGAGAAGGAAACACAGGGCTCAGCTAACAAGGACAGGGGGCTGCCTGTCTAGTTCATGTGTGCCCAGAAACTCCCTTGCTCTCGTCCCAGTGACCTGGCTGGTCCTCAGTGAGATTTACCCAATGGAGATCCGGGGGCGAGCCTTTGCCTTCTGCAGCAGCTTCAACTGGGCGGCCAACCTCTTCATCAGCCTTACCTTCCTCGACCTCATCGGTAAGTACTCTACCTCATCCCAGGCTATTTCCATCTGGACCTGGGCACAGTTTTCAGCAGAGCTGGGTCACAGTGACATGAAACCTGATGCAGTCCAGCTTGTGAACCAAAAAGGAATATTCCATCTCAAACCATCTAAATGAGTGGGGCAGGTGGCTTCAGACAGTCAGCTGTGGGTTTCCCCGCCTCAGGGACTGCCCTTCACTCTTTCTCAGCTCTGCTTATCACCAGAGTCTTTGTTCACGGTTATTACTGCCTTGTGGTATGAAGGTGGCTGCCAGCAGGCCTCCAGTGCAACCCAAGTCCTGGGCTCAGCCCTCATTGGCTCAACAAGATCACTTGCCCCTCCCAGAGCGAATGGCTGGTGCTGTTCTGATGCCCAGGGCTCCTTCACTCTGGGCAGTTTTTAGGACTGGGTTACTTTTCTTCTCCCCATGGTCAAATGTCTCCATGTCTAGCTCTTCAGGCTATGGGACATTTTGAGAAGCCACTAACACGATGGTCTCCCAGCTTTCCTTCTCCCTGCTGCCCCTGTCCCAGACATAACTGTGCGGGATGGATGAACAAGTCAGAAGGGGAGGAGGGTAGAGGGTAGGGACTTGGAGTGCACCCTGCCCTATCCTCAACCCCATTTTACCAATGAGGAAATGTGTAATTCTTAAGTCCAGCCAGGTGTCAGAAGACTGGAGCCTGGCCCTTCAAACAGCCCAGGACAGATGCCACTGCTCAGGGAGCTGATAGAAGGGCCATTCAGGCTGCCAGAAAGAACCTGACTTCTTCCTCCACAGGGTCTCTTCATCCAAGCCCCGACTCCCTGTCTTGGGTCTGCTGACCTCTGGGGTCATCTCTAATGTGGTCCTTAGCCCTGGGCAGAGCCCTCAGTTCTGGGTTGGGAGCAGTGGCCCTATCTTCCTGTTCTCCTGGCTCAGGCCCAGTCTAAACCAACTGTAGGCCAATTTGCAGAGTGACCCTTTGTGGCCTTCTGGAAGAGAAGCTATGGAGCCTCCTTTGTCACAGTTGGTCCCTGCAGCTGGCCACACCTCCATTCAGGTGTTCTGACTCTGAGGGGCCTTTCCCTCCATACAAGTTGTCCTACTGTGTTGGTGGCCTCAGCCTCAGGGACAGCCAGTGATTTGCCAGTCATTCTGCAAACTGGCTGTCCCTGGCCTTTGCATGGGTGAACTATTGGTTCTACACCTAGGACCTGTTGGGTGGCATGGGCCTCAGGAGCAGGGTGCTCAGCTCCTAGCCCACAGTCCCAACATTGTATCCCAAGGTGCCATCGGCTTGTCCTGGACCTTTCTGATGTATGGGATGACTGCTGTTCTTGGCCTGGTCTTCATCTACTTGCTTGTTCCCGAAACAAAAGGACAGTCCCTGGCTGAGATAGAGCAGCAGTTTCAGATAAACAGGTACCTGATGGATGGGCTTGGTGGTTGGGGGTTGGGAAGTGCCTCAAAAGTGGGGCCCTGCAGGACCTCAGGCTCCTCTTCATTTTGCCAGATGCTCACATCTCCTCCTGGCATGCTGCCATTGTCCCCAAGCCATTTTCCTTCACCTGTTTTGTACCATCTGACAGTGGCTTTGCATTGACCTTGTGCGGTGAAGTGACCAACCCTGGGCTTTGCATGTGTAACCAAGCATTCTACCCCTGAGCTACATTTTGCTTTGATGACAGGGCCCTGTCATATAGTCCACATTAATCTGGTGCTTGCTGTGGAGCTCAAGCCGACCTCATACTTGCAAGCTTCCTGCTACCATGCCAGGCTCTCACAGAGATTGAAAATTACAAAACCACAGAGTACTGGAATCTTAAAACCACTGAATCTTAGAGTCATGGACTTTTGAGAAAAGAACGAAGCTGTGGCTTAGTCCATGTTCCACCAGGTTTTTATACTAAGTCCTTGCACTGCGTCCCAGGCAGGGTTTGAGGCCTTTGGGAATGCAGCAGAAGTCAAGAATGGCAAGGTGCTGTCCTCAAGGAACTGCTGTTCAAGTTTTGGGAAGGGGCACAAAATAAGCCAACAGCCCATTGAAGAAGAGTGCTCTAAACTGGTGATATTTACTGAGAAGAAAGATTAAGTTTGTATCTTGCTGTGAGGCCAGACTAGCACAGGATAAGGGGTTGTGCCTCAGTAGAGCGAGGACCTTTCTGAGTAGATGTCACTTCAGTCAATGAGGAGGGGAGGCAGCCATGTAAAGAGGGGAGGGGCACCCTACATGGAGGGAGTAGCTGGTGCGAAGACCCTGAGGTGGGGGAGCCTGTCTGACCTGGGCAAGGAACAAAAGAGCCCTCCCTTGGGACTGGACAAGGGAGGGAGGAGGGCGGAGGGTCGGATCAGCCAGATGGAGTTAGATCACTTCCGGTCTGGAGGTCACAAACAGGATTTCAGAATCTTAGCATCCTGGGAGAAGGAGGGGAGACAGGAGCACAGGAAGGACCTTGTGGTGTTTCAGCCATGTGAAAATTCCCTCATCTTTCTTAGAGTCGAGGTGAGGTTCCTGGCTGTCTATTCTATTTCTGGGATGGCCTGAAGAATTTTTTTTTTAAGTCATTGTAATACTGAGCCAGCCTGCAGCTGAGAGGAGCAGGTGGGGGAGTCAGGGGTGGGGGGTGG